GCATAATAACATATATATATGTATATATATGACGTTTTTTTTTTTTTTTTCCCGACATGAATCAATGCACGCACCTCTACGTGCGAGCATGCGAGAGAGACAGATTATAATTACTACTACAATAATTTTGTTGTTGTTGTTTTTGTCGATAAAATGAATTTCTATACCGCGCGTTATATATAATATAATAATATTGGAAAATATGTTTATATTACGATAAATCTTACGATATAAATATATGTCGACTGTCTATCGAAAATACGTGGATATATCAGGCTCCTAGGAAGTGGGGACGACACTGACCAAAAACATGCGGCGTGCTAAATTTTACTCTTAGGAATTCATCTCTCGGTGCAATGCCCGCAGAAAAACGAACGCAGGTGAACCTGAACGGTAAGGTTTTGTCAAAATATTCTTGAGAAACAAAATAAATAATAAGTAACAACAAGTTTCGAAGAAAACAAAACATAAGAAATAATAATTGCAAATATTAATTTAAATAAATCTATCAAACGAAAAATATCTCTCAAATGAATAAATTTGTGATTTTGTTTTCAGATGACTTTTTCTTTCCTTTTTTCTTTTTTTTTTTCTTTTTTTTTTTTCTTATTCTTTTTCTTGTTCTTTTTTAACCGTACCGTTCACGATCAACACAGCGTTGCCTACCAAAAAGGTATCTAGTGGTAAACCTCGACTAACACAGACAAAATGAAAACTTTTTGATCGTGATGAGATATTATTATATAATATATGTGGATGTGTGAACAGAGCAGAAGACTTGGTGCAACGATTGGTAGATTAATTATTTGACATACCACTGTTGGTACCTGGCCAGGCACTAAAGGTTGACCAGGCGTTAGGCCCATTTGTTGCATAAGCGCGTTTTTCAGGGCTAAGTGATTGCGTCCGTTTATCAAAAGCTGGTCCTTCAGGTGTTGAGGTGGGTGGAAGTATTTGCAGGGTGGCTTTTCCCGATTACATCGGCCCTGGAAAAAGAAAATGAAAAACAACAAGTCAATAAATAAATTCAATTAATCAAAAAATAATAATGTATATATATATAATATATATTTTAATTAGAAATAGAGAGTTTAAAAAAGTTCAAGGACATCCGACCGAGAATAGTAGTCGACAAGTTTGGTCGGTTTCACAAATTCAATTCAATTACGCGCGTATGTTAAGTTAAAAAGTATGTATTTAATATAATAAATTCGCGCGATGCTGTAAATGCTGAACAAGGGTAACTCGTGTGCTAGGGCAATATCTCTTTCAGTAAAATTCTACGCTCTAGTTGCTCGCATTGCAATAGGAAAAAGAAGACCATAGTCCATGAAATACATAGTTTCTGCGAAAACGCTGCCGGAAGAAATACTCTTGGCGTAACGTCTGTGCCTGAAATTTATCGTAGTCAGCTGTTTCTCTACCTACTACCACATAAGTATATAAGTAAGAGAAGGAGAAAGGAAGGAAGAAAAAGAGAGAGAGAGAGGAAGGAAGGAAGGAGGCGTTCGTTCGTGTGCGTAAAGAAGCAGGGGTTGCATTCAGCCACCATCAAATGTTATTTTCAAAAGATAAATGTATATGTTTTACAAATTAATTAAAGCCGATGTCACTCGGTGACAAGCTCGGGTCAAAGGAAATGTCAACTTTCTTAGTTTAATATCCTCGTTCTCGGATTTCTTTATCCTACTTGACTTGACTTGACTTGACTTGACTTTACTCGACTCCTCGTTTTCAAGCTCCAATTTCATACAAACGATTATATCGAAAAATCCTTTTTATATACAATATATACTTGTTAACGTCTATCATTTCACTTAGATTTCATCGTTTACCTTTTATATATATATATTTTGAGTACCTTAACGAGCTATCTTTCTAGTGAACTACATTTTCTACCTTTTAAAAAGCTTTACATATAACAATGGCAAAGACTCGCAACGATCCTATTAATAGTTTAGAACTATTTGTTTTTTTTTTTTTTAATAATATAGATAGCAGTATAACGAAGACAGGTAATCGAAATAAATGGAATGGTTAATAATCGATAGGACGTAAAACGATACATTTACTGTCAGCAATAAGCTATAAATACCAATAAAGATAATCAGAAACAATTCGAACGTTGTAAAAATAAAAAAATAAAAGTATGAAGAAAAAAATAGAAAAAAAAAAAAAAAAAAAAAAAATAGATCGTATCTAAATTAAAATATATTGTGTAGTTAAGGTAATAAAGCATGGTCAATGTAATAAAGAGTGCACATAACTTCGTACATTTACTGTTAAATAAAACACACCTTTTGCTACTTTATTNATGGTTAATAATCGATAGGACGTAAAACGATACATTTACTGTCAGCAATAAGCTATAAATACCAATAAAGATAATCAGAAACAATTCGAACGTTGAAAAAAAAAAAAAAAAAAAGTATGAAAAAAAAAAAAAAAAAAAAAAAAAAAAAAAAAAACAAAACAAATATAACCCAACCCCGAGAAATAATCGTTAGTAGTTAAGGTAATAAAGCATGGTCAATGTAATAAAGAGTGCACATAACTTCGTACATTTACTGTTAAATAAAACACACCTTTTGCTACTTTATTATCGAGTAGAAACAAACATATAACGGATGGAAGGGAAGAATATAACGAAAGCGTAAAAAGTCTTCATAATTTATCCGATAATTTATAAATGTACAAAGATGATAAGAACGTCGGGTAACTAGGATTAAACTGGTGTTTCAATTAAAAGAACTTTTATTCGGACAGAGCACACTCTCTTTCTGTTCTTAAAATATTCTCATATGTACGGTTATAAACGTGAACTTTTACACTAATTTGAAATTTATCCATAACAGAAGGGATCTTCAAAGTTGATACGTAAGAATACTTCGTGTAACACGGCCAATATTCGCAAGTTTATTATTTTATTCGCGTTATTGTTTGAAACATTTTTTCATCAAATATTCTTAAGACAAAACCTAATAAAATTATAAATATATATATATATATACAAAATAAAACTTAAAAAATCTATAATAGAATGAAAAGAAATTTTGTTTGAAAAGAAAAAAGCACGTGTAAATTTATATAATACAGAATTTAGAAAATTTTAACGTCGAATATAAGAATGTTTTCATAGAAAAAAGGGAAGAGAAAATTAAATAGAGAATAGATAATAAAACAAAAGTGAACGTTAACATTAGTAATCTAAAGTAATATCGTAATAGAGAAGTGCGAGGGGTAAACGTTAAGGGAAGTTATGTTACGCAGCATTGTTATCATCGTATATACACACACTTCCATACATATACACAAGTGTGCCGCCGTCTCTTCATTTCGAATTTATCCATAAACGAAACATACTCGAGTACAAGTGGCTCATAATATAGCTAGTACGCAAAGATCTTTGCTCTCTGTGTAGCTGGTGGTAGCTCGCTCATAACTCGAGCGTCGGAGCGAAGTGTAACACGGTTTAAGGGTGAGTTGCGGCTGGTGTTGCTGTTGCTAGCAGTGTTGCAAGATCGGAATACGGAAGTGCTAGAGGAAAGGGGAGAAGAGAAGAGAAGAGAAGAGAAGAGAAGTGAAGTGAAGAGAACAGAACAGAATAGAAGAGAAGAAGGAAGGAAGGAGTTGTAGCTGAGGTAGTATGAAAAGGAAGAAGATGGTATGGTGGGGGAAATGAAGGAAGGAAGGAAGAGGAGGAGAAGGATCGGTGGGTGTCGTGGTGGTACTAATTAGACCTTAACAATATTAGTTCAGGTAAGATGTCTATATAGGGGTGGAAGCCGACCGCACTAGCGTTACCAACACACCACCAACCAACCCCCCCCTCTCTCTTTCTCTCTCTCTCTCTCTTCTACCGTTCGTGCTTTCTTACGAAAATCCAGTGGCTTTTGGTAATAGCAGCTTACTAGCGTAAACTCTCACGCTTTCGTAAAGAAGAAGAAAAGGGAGAGGGGATGTGGGAGAAGTACTCAAATATCGGCTAATTAAGCACATTCGGAGAGTTTCCAGAAATAATGTCTAGTAAAGCTGGAGAAAGTTTCAAACTATTGAGAAGAGTTGATCTCTCTCTCTCTCTCTCTCTCTCTCTTTCTCTTTCTATTCTATCTATCTATCTATTTCTCTTGTTTCAACATCGATGTTGACGCAAATGCGATGCTACTATGTCGCTTAATCTCTACTTGCCTCAGTGCGGTTTGTCCTCACTTAACTAATTGTAAAAGAGAGAGAGAGAGATACATAGAGAAGATTCCCGCACATGACACGAGAAACGAAGGCAGCAGCTCTTCCACGAACGCGAGATGTTCGACGCATCCTAGGTTTTAGTGTTAATTAGGTGCCGATGTCGTGCGGATGAATTTACGTGGAAGCAGTACCAACTATATATATATATATACTAGTTATATATATATATACAGTAGCACCGTTAACATCTACTAACGTTACGCACGTAATCCTGTTGCTTCAGCTTCGAAACTTTGATCGATGACAAATCGAGGATCTCAAACGATAGGATCGCCCGAGGGCCATCTATCATATATGTCCTGTCTCGTTTTCCTAGAATCTCGAAAAATAATATTAGAAAATTCCTTATCGATCATGGCGTGTCACAAATAGCTCAAGAAAAAAAAAAAAAAAACAAATAATATAACAGAAAAAAAAAACATATCTAGAAAGAATATAACATTATTATAATCGTGTAAAGTGAAATGACAAAAAAAAAAAAAATTAATAATAATAATAATAATAGGATAAGAAACAATTTGTTTGATTTTTATTTTTTTGTTTTGTTTTATATTACATAACATAAGAAGAGGAACGAACACATTTAGCAAGACTTTGAGAATAATTTTTCAATGAAACATCGTATTTTTCTCTCAGGTTGATAAATTATTGGTAGGAAACAAACGAGAAGGAGGAATATGTCAATGGTAAAAAACACTTTTCAATCTTTTTCTAATTTTTTTTAGTATTCTTCTTCTCTCTTATCTTTTCTTTTCTTTTCTTTTCTTTCCTTCACCAAGAAGAAGAAGAAGAAGAAGGAAGTCGAAGCAACATCTCCTATCCGGATCGTCATTGTTTTGGCTTTCCGAACGTTAGAAAGAAGTGGAAGGGTCTGAGAGACCGACTCAATTACGGGAACTGAACGACGCGATAATTGGGATCAAGATTGATCGTCTTCCTTCCTACGGGTCTGACCTTTCGCGAATAAAAAGAACTCGTTGTATTGCTTGCTTGGGTTGCCGTTGTGTTAACTTCCCTTGGAATACGACGAAAACGTACTTTCACACGATCCTATAGACTGGAATGAATTTACTGTTTAACTATTTTGCTAGTTGTACTGACAATAAGATAAGAATAAAAAATGAAGTTCATCGGACTGGGGGGAGGGGTGGGTGCGGGTGTGTATGTGCGTGGTTAACATTTTTTTCTTGCAAAATGTACAAATAAATGAATAATTTTAACGAGGAATTTATTTTCATATACACATACACGTAACACATATTATACAGGAATGAGATCAAAGTTTCCATTTTAAATTCGATTGATCTCTTAGAACGATTAGTATAAAATAACACGTGGAGAACATTAACCTCTGAACATAAATAATAAAGTATCGAGAGAAGGGGATGCTTATACACAAGAATAATAAGTGTAAAAATACTCATGTCCTCAAATCGTAATCGATGTTTACGATATATATACGGTGCATATACGCTAAAAAAAAAAAAAAGAAAGAAAAAAAAACGTAGTCGTAAAAAAGATCGTATCGTTCGGGCCAATAAACGGCAGCGACGATAATTCACATCCTACTTTTCGTTATACTAGTTTTTTTTTTTCTTTTTTAAAATGACAGAAAGAGAGTTAAGAGAGAAAGATATGAGGTGTAACATTTGTGAAAACTATTTGAAGAGTAAGAGAAAAAAGAAGAATAAAGAAGGAAAGCAAGAGAATAAGAAAGTAAAGATGGGAGAGGGGGGGG